TATATATATATTTATACATATATATATATATATATTTATATTACCATTTGCATCCAATTTGTTCACATACTTGATTTTATATTCTCTTCGTGGTTACTAGGTGATCACCGTTAATCTCCATGAGACGTTTAAAGTGGATGATGACTTTGAGGTGAAGCCTTACTATGCAGGGCATGTCCTTGGGGCGGCTATGTTCTATGTGAAGGTATGGGCTATCTAGACATATTTTAGGGTTTTAGGGAAGTATGTGAAATATTTTAGGGTTTTAGGGAAGTGTGTGACATACCTGCGTATTACAACTGTACTTTAGGTGTTTGCTTGTGTGTCTATTGAAGTGTGTGACATATTTGCGTATTACAACTGTACTTTAGGTGGATGCTTGTGTGTCTATTGAAGTGTGTGACGTATTTGCGTATTACAACTGTACTTTAGGTGTAGGCTTGTGTGTCTATGGAAGTGTGTGACATATTTTTGCATTACAACTGTACTGTAGGTGTAGGCTTGTGTGTCTGTGGGAAAGTGTGTAACATCCACACATGTGCGTGCCTGAATTGTACTTTTAATCCTTAGTCGGAGGTCTGAGTCCCGTTATATTCATCTCCTTTCGTTCATGTATAGTGTGTGCTATATATAGCTATTATGTATAGTGTGTGCTATATATATAGCTATTGTATGGATGGCTTATTTTGATATATAGCTATTATGTAAAGTGTCTGCTATTTATATAGCTATTGTATGAATGGCTTATTTTGATATATGACTATTGTGTATGGTGTGTGCTATATATATAGCTATTGTATGGATGGCTTATTTTGATATATAGCTATCATGTATAGTGTGTGCTATTTATATGGCTATTGTATGGATGGCTTATTTTTATATATAGCTATTATGTAAAGTGTCTGCTATTTATATAGCTATTGTATGAATGGCTTATTTTGATATATGACTATTGTGTATGGTGTGTGCTATATATATAGCTATTGTATGGATGGCTTATTTTGATATATAGCTATTATGTATAGTGTCTGCTATTTATATGGCTATTGTATGGATGGCTTATTTTGATTTATAGCTATTATGTAAAGTGTCTGCTATATATGTAGCTATTGTATGGATGGCTTATAGTGTGCACCCCACCAGTTGGCCATATTGCAACGCCACACTCAACTGTCGGTATGATCTTGTTGATTAGGAACGATCACCTAATCAGGGCGTGCTCTGTACCCAATTTTCCATACTGGTAAAATTGGGCGAATAAAATATATGGGATTTCAGTGCTATATATTTGGGATTTCATTGCTATATATTGGGTTAGAACAAAGGCCGGCGCCGTATAATTGTGTGTTGGAATGGGTAACGGTACCTTATGAATCAATAGTACTATTGAACGGAGCCTATTAATTGCTTGCTGTGTTGGTCAACCCCCTAAAACCCACGCTGTACGGCGCCACCCCTGTGTGTGATACAAACATTAGGGAAACCCAAGAACCCTAGATCCTACACCATAGTCGCGTGGTCCAAAGCCTAAACCCTAAAGCACAGTCGGCTGTCTCAGTATGTTGTCTGTCCTGTGAGACTCAGAGGTTTGACGTCTGAATATGAAATGTGACATAACTTGACACTTGACGCTCGATGCTTAACAACTGACACTACACATCTGAGGCAGTTATTCACCAGCTGATACTTGATACCTGAAGTTTGGTGTAGGCAGGGCCCGATTGGGGGACTACATATCACCTGTATGCAACACAATTCACAATCATCTGACGCTTGACATGTGACACTTCCACAGGCAGGGGGGTAGTCGGTGGTGTAAACTGGGGACAATAACATGACACCTGACAGACACTTGGCATTTGACAGACATTAGACACCTGACGCTTGACAAGTGACACTTCCACAGGCAGGGGGGCAGTCGGTGGTGTACACTGGAGACTATAACATGACACCTGATAGACACTTGACATCTGACAGACACTTGACACCTGACGCTTGACATGCGACACTTCCACAGGCAGGGGGGCAGTCGGTGGTGTACACTGGGGACTATAACATGACACCTGACAGACATTTGGGGGCGGCCTGGATTGACCGATGCCGTCCTGATCTGCTCATATCTGAGTCGACATATGCAACGACTGTCAGAGATTCTAAACGGTGAGGCTGCATGTGAGCATGTAAGTGTGAACGGATATGTACACCTATAGTAGGTATACACATGTATGTACACCTATAGTAGGTATACACATGTATGTACACCTATAGTAGGTAATATATGTATGTACACCTGTAGTAGGTATACACATGTATGCACACCTATAGTAGGTAATATATGTATGTACACCTATAGTAGGTATACACATGTATGTACACCTATAGTAGGTATACACATGTATGTACACCTATAGTAGGTATACACATGTATGTACACCTATAGTAGGTATACACATGTATGTACACCTATAGTAGGTATACACATATATGTACACCTATAGTAGGTATACACATGTATGTGCACCTATAGTAGGTATACACATGTATGTACACCTATAGTAGGTATACACATGTATGTACACATATAGTAGGTATACACATGTATGTACACCTATAGTAGGTAAAAACATGTATATACACCTATAGTAGGTAGACATATGAATGTACACCTATAGTAGGTATACACATGTATGTACACCTATAGTAGGTATACACATGTATGTACACCTATAGTAGGTATACACATGTATGTACACCTATAGTAGGTATACACATGTATGTACACCTATAGTAGGTACACATGTATGTACACCTATAGTAGGTAAATATATGTATGTACACCTATAGTAGGTATACACATGTATGTACACCTATAGTAGGTATACTCGTGTATGTACACTTATAGTAGGTATACACATGTATGTACACCTATAGTAGGTATACACATGTATGTACACCTATAGTAGGTATGCACATGTATTTACACCTATAGTAGGTATGCACATGTATGTACATCTATAGAGTTGCCTACATAAATCCGTGTATTCTCTTTTCACGTCCACAGTATATATCTAAATACACGTGTATCTAGACCCTTATAAGGGTCTGTGTAATCACTCATCACGTTCTCGGTGTAAGCAGAGACACAGCTATATATAAGGTTGCATGCACATGTGGGCAGACATAGCTACGTACAAGGGTACATGCACATATATGCACATATGTATTGTGTGCAGACATAGCTATGTACAAGGGCACATGCACATATATGCACATATGCATTGTGTGCTGACATAGCTATGTACAAGGGTACATGCACCTATATGCACATATGCATGAATCTCCAGACTACAGCATACCGTGTACTTATCTTTCACGTCTACAGCACGGACGGATATGCCTCTCACATATTTCCGTGTCTCTACTATCGTCGTTTCACGTTTACAGCACGGTCGGATATGCCTCTCACATATCCCCGTGTCTCTACTGTCGTCGTTTAGCGCTTACTGTACGGTCGCATATGCCTCTCACATATCCTCGTGTCTCTGCTGTTGTCGTTTAACGTTTACAGTGCACGTGAACGGGACTTCTTGAAAAAAGTCTTTGATGCTGTGTCGAATGGTGGCAAAGTGCTTATCCCTGTCTTTGCGTTGGGCCGTGCGCAAGAGCTTTGTATTCTACTCGGTAAGTGGATAAGAACATCTCTCTCTCTCTCTCTTTTATTTAATGTGGATATAAACATATCTCTCTTACTCTCACACACACTTATTATCTTATTTAATGTGGATAAGGACATATCTCTCTCACACTCACACACACTTATTAACTTATTTAATGTAGATAAGGACATCTCTCTCTCTCTCTCTCTCTCTCTCACTTATTTACTTATTAAATGTGGACAAGAACATCTCTCTCTCTCTTTTACTTGTCTTTTAACGGATACAAGCATGGATATCTTGTCGTGTACCGTTGTAGGTGGATATATGCATGGATAGCTTGTCTTGTATC